AGATTAGGTTTACAAAGTTACATATGAACAAATCACAAGACTTCTGGAACAATGTCCTTTGTACAGATAAGACCAACATGGAGATGAATCACAGCACCACGTTCGGAGAAAACCAAACACAGCATATCAGCACAAACACCTCATAGCAGCTGTGAAGCACGGTGGTGGAGCGGTGATGATTTGGGCTTGCTATGCAGCCACAGGACCTGGACACCTTGCAGTCATTGACCATGAACTCCTCTGAACGCCAAAGTATTCAAGAGTCAAATGTGAAACCATTCTGACAGCTAAAACTGAAGCTGGTTCATGCAACAGGACAATGATCCCAAGCCCAGCAACAAATCTCCAACAGAATGGCTTAAAAAAGAAAAGAATCGAGATGATGAAATGCCCCAGTCAAGGCCCAGTCTGCAAACAAACTGAAATACTGCAGCAGGAGAGCTGTCTGCAAGTAAATGCTCACAAACCTCAATGAACTGAAACAATGCTGTAAAGAAGAGTGGGACAAAATTGCTCCAACAATGTGAGAGCCTGATAAAGTCATACCAAGTTATTGCTGGTAGAAGTGGTTTTACAAGCTACTGGGGTTTACTTAGTTTTTCACACACTGCTCCTGCACTCTGGCTCAGTTTTTGCTATATGAAAATAAATACACAGTGTAACACATGTTGCTGCTGCGTGTAAATTATTTTATAATCTGCTAACGACAAGGTCATTTTTAAAAGGATATCCTGATACGTAAAACCTTCGAATTCAAAGAGGACGTAGTTTCTTTATCACATAACTGAATCACGTCACGTGATTCTGCTTCTGCACTTTTTGTCATTTTTGGTTTATTGAAGCTTTGATGAGACAGATTGACAGGAAATATGGGAATCAAGAGAAAAGGCAATACCAGGTAACAATGCTTTTCTGCAACAATCAAACACAGATCACGTGAAATGGATTTCGGTCTGTCGGCTAACGTGTGCCCCAATTCACAGTTGTTTGAATAAGTAAAAACACATTTTGTTTGTCATGCCAACAGTAGATGTGATGCATGTGATAATAAGCTGGCCTCAAATTAATGGTTGGTTTATTTTCTCTTTCATCGTGACCAAAAATGTGACTTAATATCTTACACATTGATCCAAAATAGTACAATATTTCAAAAATGACCCACCTAATTGAGGTTTCTTGCCTTAAGTTATCTCAATTAATTATTTACTCTGACAATCTGTCAACATGCTTTTGAGCCCTAGAGGCACGGTTTGTATGCACTTGGATTTTCTGTCACATGTATGGAACAGCTGAACGCACAGACGATCCCCGCTAATCAAGGCAAACCCGTGAAAGCATGCTGTTATTTTTGCAGCTAGTCCCTGACGCACACCTCCTTGTCACTCTCAGTTACATACAGCACATCCAGACCACGCTTTTGTTTGGATGATCATCTCAAGTGAACCCACCTGGGAACTTGCTGCACGACTGGGAGGGAACAATGTCGGCCTGGTGAGGGAGAAGAGGGGAGGAGGGCAAAGAAATGGACACGCCCTTGGTCAGTCTCTTTTGTTTTGCTGAGTTTTTGGTGCAGCCGCCATCGTGGTCCTGGAAGTGAGAGGCGCGCTGGCCGCTGCCTCTCTGCAAGGTGCTGTGGGCATACACCTCGTCACCTGCGTGGAACGCATAGGCGGGTGTAGAGAGAAGACAGAGGTGGGCAGGTGTTGAGGTAAAAGCAGAGTTAGTGCAGTTACAGTAGATCTAGGATATCACAAGAAGAGAATAAGCCTATTAAATATGTCTCACAGAAGGCTGCGACACAGCAAACACATCGTGTCTCCAGGCATATTTCCCAGTGAGGTAATGGAAAGTTGGCATTGCTGGATCATCTATTTAAAGAATTGGGATCACGCTCATTAAACTGGCTACAGTTATTCTCTCTTAATACTTCAATCATTTTCATATCCACTCTTATTACAGCCTTTAAAGAGACATTATAATTCCCAAAGCCATGTGATTAGAGAGACTCACTTATATACTGATTATATATCATTGCCATAGTTTGCCCTGTAGCAAAATTAAGCAATTTACTACCTTCTTCTTTGAATGAGTGTGTTTTACCACTAGCCAAATAAGTAGTCAGAACTGCATTGCCTAATCTATGAATTCATCTATTATGCTGTTGCATAATACCTGAAAGTGTGGAATGATCATAGCCTTTTAATGGCAAGCTTTAAAGAAGGAGGCAGAAAGTGGCATCTCTCTGCAAATGATCAGAGAAGAGCCAGTGTACTGTAAACACACTTTATCATTTTAATGAGACTGACACAGTTCTCTATCAGCCTCTCTGGTCTTTCTACCCAGTGGAGCACACTATCAAATATTGATGGGCAACATAGTTGCTCTAATACCCAGCTCTACTTATGTTTATGTATCTCCGCAACACACTCTGGAATCACATCTTTACTGCAGCGAGTTGACAAGTGTACACTTTTAAAATAAAAAAAATTAAAAAACAAACAGCTTCATTTCATCTGCGACAGAGAATCCTAAAGAACACTGAACTTATGTACAGGAGACACAACAGCCTCATGCCAAGTGCACAGATACATCTGCTGGACTCACAAATTCTTCTGGTGTTCAACGTGTGTTTAGTAGGTCAGGATGTTTGCTTAACCCACTCTAACTTCGTCTGACACACTTTAAATTCAAGCACCGGGACACTGTGTGAAGGACGGAACACACTGATGAATTAGGCTAATTGAAATGACTCTACTTAAATCACCCAAGAGAAGAGAGAACCTGAATATTACCATCAAACAACACCAGAATGAGTGTGCACAACATAACATACATTTTCCATTTACAGTATTGTGACCTCCAAACAAAAGGGGCATTCAGTTAAAAAAAACATCTGCTAAAAGTTGCAATATTATTTTGTTCAGCATGCATGCCTCATTTTTGCTTCACTGGTACTTCCAGTGGTTTTGTTTCTACCTGAGTGCCTTTGGCTCTTTTTCTCCCCTCGTTTTCCTCCTCCATCTCTCTTGTTTCCAAAAACTGCTCTGAACATAGCTGGGCTGTTGCTTCACCGTCTACTGACTGTGGAAGGGAAAAAAGTTAAATGTTCATTTGAATTAGGGGCACATTATTCAGACAAAATTACCCCCGCTGTTAGTTCTTAATTCAGCTGCCACATTTAAATGGTGTTTTTATTTTAATACCATGATCTATATATATAGTCTTTAACAAATAGTTTGCACGAATTATTATAGTAAGCTAGATATGAAAAAATTAGCATCCCAAAATTCTCAGATTACCTGCTCTTAAGTCTTCTTTGATGCCTCCATGTCCTCACATATATCCACAGGAAGCTGATGGAGGAGCATTTAAACTCGCGGAGTCCAATTAAGAAGTGTTTCACCTCCAGAAAATGATGGGAGAAGGGGGTCGTCTTGCACATGCGCATTGGCCCTGTGTTCCACATTTGATGGAAATCTGTCTATGCATTTGATACATCTTATCCTATCCTTTTATGTTTTTTGTGTCTTTATCCCATTTTGATGTTTGAACTTAATGAAACTGCCATTTTTTATTTTTTATTATTCGCTGTAATCTATATCTCTCATACTATGCCAGGCCAGCTAATAATAGTTTGTGCTCAAACTCATTTAAATTAGTTTTTGATAATTATTTTAAGAGTAGCCTAACTTCGTGTAATTTTCTAAGGAAGCTGGAGTGAATATCAAAGCAGCGCACTCGGACATTACGTTAAATACATGCCGTGATCCATTTTGAACACCAGGGGACGACAGCGCAAATTACAAGTTCCTAACCGGCCTCAAGGGGGCGACAATGAGCCGCCACCGGCATCCTTTATAATCCGGATGATAACCTCAGAGCAGTCCTTTCGCTGCCTGTGCTCTCGTGTGTTGCAGCAAGTGAAAGGCGTTCTTGTGAACTTTATAATGCGTAACCTCGGCGGTTCATTCACCTTACCTGACATGACCTACTGTAAGTATATTCAGGCGCCCTGTCGAGTTAAAGACAGCTAAGTTAGTGACGTCTGTTCTGTTGAGTTTTATGGTGAATCAACGGACACGTGTAAAATGAGCTCGAGCCATTTTGTGTCACGAGTTAGAAAATATTTTGTGCAAAATAATCCCGGCTTCTTAGTTTTGCTCCAGACTAACGGCTACGTGAGCGAAATGAGCAGTAACACGGGGCTAAATATGATGCCTCGTGCCATGAGAGAGAGCTGATTTTAAAAAAGGTTAATGGATACTCGTTAACGATACCAGATTTAGCATAGCACCGGATGTGCTCCATTATTGCTAGTTAGCTCATGTTAATTCTAACATGAGCTTTGTAACTAATATTTTCCATGCGCATATCTGCTAAACCTGTTCTGACCTTGATTAAAAGTGTTAAAGCGTTTTTTAACGTATTTTTTTGCACTTTTAAAGCAGATCATCCCGCTGGATGAATACCTGTATGAGCCAGCTGCGGATGACTGATGTGTTTCAGCATGATGCACTAGTGATGCCAGTAGCTGTGTATTACATGACCTGAGACGACAGCTGACAAGCAGTGTGCGAACATGTATGTATTGAGTTTACATTGTAACGACTTTGCTACTGTTTAGTAAAGTGACCAAGCCTGTCCTCGGACCACATCTTTGACAGCCTGGGCTCTCTGCTGTGAGTTCCTGGGTTATAACATTTAGATGTAATATTAAATGTCCCTGCGCTTTCTGATCGCTCTTTTTCCATGGCGTCTCAGATTGAAGAAGGGAGGATAAAATGTTTGTTTTAACATGCCAGCACACAAAAACCTTAATTACATATTCTTGTAAAGAGACTGTATCATGTATAATTTTTTTTTCCTCCTTCAGACGTATGAAGGATATGTATAAGGCACGGGGTAATAAAACCAGAGCTGCGAGAGGCTGACAAGCTGTGGACCAACGCTGAGAATGCTGGTGAGCGCTTAAAATGTTTTAACTGGGGTTGTACATGAATTTGCATCCACTGATAGACCTGGAGCAGACTTCTTTGGCTTCTGGGTTTGCATAGAGATGCTAAACTGAGCCTTCCTCGCGCTTTCTGACTGCTTCATTTTTATAGCAGCACAGATTGAATAGAGGAATACATTTTAAGCTTGTTAGGAATGGTCAGAGGTTGGGTTCACATGGGGATACGTGGTGTGACGTGACAGCTTTAAGTATTCACCCACTAAATACATTAATACCTGCACATGCTTTCAAGACAGATTTACAGGGTAGTGGTTTCTAGACGGACTGTGGTGGTCACTGTTGACTGAAGGCATTGATGAGATCTTACTTTAAATTGTTTATTGCAGGATCGCTGATATCTTTATGCAGTTGGATGTTTACATTTTCTAATATATTTATTTAATATTTTACCCCTTCTTACAGATAATGGGTGGGATGCATTGTAAAAAGCAAATGGAGCTTGGCCCAGTGGGACATCTTCACTTCCTCTGTTGCCAAAGAAACCGAAGAGCAAGTTTGTAATTGTCATGTTGTGGTTTCAGTGCTGCATTTATAGCAGGTCTTCATTTGCCAGCAAGATTTGTGTTGTATAAACCTGACTTTTTTTTTTTTTTAATTTAAATAAAATTATTCAACCATATTTTCATGAGTACTTTTGTGAATGTAAGTCTGTGGGGAAAGTATTCAACACTTTACAACTCCTGCCTCATGGGGCTTCATACTGTAAAGACCCTACATTAATACAGAAAACCGTGCATCAGTAAGTCACTGTAAAGTGACAATTAGGAATTTTTCTTGGATTATTGTAACTATAGTTGACTCTCTTTCAAAATACTAGACTGGTGGCTGCGCTGCCATATAGCTGAACTACAGCCATTCCCAAAGGCAGGTACCACCTGTCACTGGGGAATAAATTTCAATATGGGTAGTCAATGTCAGTAATGAGTAATATCAAACTGACCACCTATTACCAGTTTTATATAAATGTACTGAATGCCTTTTACTGTAGTCCACACTGAAGTATAGCACTTCTGCTATATTTCTGTTAGTATTTAGAATAAAAATGCAGACATGTGTACATGTTAGTTTTTGATTGCTAGTGAAAATTATTTTCTTTACAAATAACTCACTGAACTAACAGTCACTCAATATGTTCATACTCATATTGCCTTCTTGGTAACTTTTTATTTTTTTTACACCAGCCAATCGCAAAATGAGTCGAGGCATTTAGGTATGCAGATTACCTACTGAAATTCAAACATCAGAAATGTAAAGTTTTGTTTTAAGTGAAACTGCTGGTCCAGTGGGATGATTCTTCACAACCATCTCTAGGATTTACAGGTCTGACTACTTAGAAGTGATAGGAAGACGACAGTAACTGAAAGACTGAAAAGACCAAAGTGGGTGGCTGCGTTGGGTCAATGCTGATTTGTCTTCACTGTGGTTTCACATTTATGCTTTTGTTTTTGTATCAAGTATTAAGCTGGCTGCTATGAAAATATAATTAAAAAACAAGTTTTCTATTGAAAAAAACACTTTATTGCATAAGTTGACCAAATATAAAACAACCTAAAATAATACAAAAGGTGGGTTATAAGAAGACACCTGGAGTAAAGATCACAATAAATTGTGGATCCAATTTGTTGTGTTGTGAAAACTGATGAGCCATCTTTCATTGAAGAAAAAAACAAAAACGGACTTGTAAAAGAAACGTCACAAAAATCTGAGTGGAACCTATACCAATAGTAACACTTTGTTCTAAAAAATTTGTCCTCTCCACATTAAACCCCATATTTCTGGATATACAAAACACTTAAAAACATTATCCACTGCTTTCAACCTCAAGTCATAGATCCTTTACTTCTTAAAACACTAATGAGCACACTCAAGCTGTGAAAGGGAACCACATCAGAAAAAGCAGTGGCCTAACCTCTGATTTCTCCATAGTGCCCTTTATTTTTGTTCCTACAGAATGAGATGGGACTACAAAACTCCACCTCATTGTCCAGTGCATCTTCAGACCTGATGTACAGAAACCAGGTCAAACCAAGCTCTGATCTAAGAGGAAATCCCTCCTCTGAGTGGAAAGCATGTATTGACCTTTGGATTCAAAAACTATTCATCAGTCTTTTCCTCGCCTTGGTAATGCCTGTACTCTGGCCTGAGCTCCCAGGTGTTCTTGTGTGTTCCCTTCACATTGTAGATGCCAATATCACGCAGGATTTCCTTCAAGTAAATCTGAGAAGAAAAACAATATGAGATAATATTCTTGAGAATTAAAGCTAAATGTAAAAGTAGCTTTTTGAGCCAATAGTACTGTTTCAAATGAGTTATAACCGAGCTCTCAAGTCTTACCACAGGCTGCTTGGTGATATCCACTAAGTCTTTGATGTTGTAGTACTGATGCTTCTCAAAAGCAGAAAACAACATGTCCAACACTTGCTGCTTGTCAGCTCGGGCTCTCTTGCCCTCCTCCTTCTTCTTCCTCTCATACTCACGCTGCAGCAAAAACAGGCAGAAGTCAGCTAAACAACAATTATCTAATTACTGCGCATGGAAGACTGATAATACTCTGGGCTATCGAAAAGACCATATATCATCTAAATTGATCAGGTGTGGGACTTGGCAAATTTGCTTGTTGAGAATTCAAAGTTAGCTCCCCATAGCAACAGCTCAACTTCTATATACATTCAATAAGGAAATACTGCACAATATCTCTTAAGTGCTTCATTAGATCTCAAGGGATTAATTAATTGATGCTAAATTTATTACTTTGAAAAGCAACTTAAGCTGTCTAGAACCACGAGGAGATACCAAAAGTACACAAACAGATAAACTGGTCATCAGTTCTGCTTAATGCGTTCTGAAGGGATTTAGACAGTAAGTCACACAAAGTGAAAAATAACACATCTTTTATATTCTATGTTGAAACAATGCTTATTGACTTGTATTGTAGCAGAGAGTGTGTCTGCAGCTGTTTGTTTGCCTCTGTCTGCCTTTAAGTTTAGTCAGAGAAGACTAAAGATTTAACAGCAAAGTGAGATAATATATAATTTGCACTCATTTTCTAAAAAATGTAGTAGATTTTCCTTCATTTTCCATTTATATCCATGGAAAGTCAACACATGTGAAAAGATTAACAATTAGGGGCCAGTTTACAGAATTTTAATATGAGAATAGGTTTTCCTTTTTTTCATATTAACTGCTTTTATCTGTATGTTTTTTGTGATACTCCAATCTCCCATATTTTGTTTATAATTAGAAATCAAAAATATGGGGCACTGATGAAATATGCATATTTAATGGGGGATGAAATAATCGTGCTGGGAAGTACTATGTGAAGTGGGACATGTGGTCACCTTGTGTGTGAATCCTGTAGAGCATGTGGTCAAAAACAACTAAGAACATACTAAAGGCAGTAAAATGTAACAAGAAAATTCTTGGCCAGATGTCAGTTAATTGTGTCTCTTGCGTGAACTAAACCTAACGTGAAAAGTGTAGAAAGTGAGTGTAACAATAAACAGATTTCTCTGTTGGGTTTCTTACATTGTAATCGTGGTTGGCCACAGGTTTATAGTTGTTGGTCACAGCTTTTTCCAGCTGTTGAGACAGCCTGGCCGGTTTGGAGGACTCTTCAATTTGTAACCTGTTAGAGAGACAGGGAGAAGTACTTTACCTGGTAAGTATAAAATATAGATGAAACAAATATAAATGAATTTCTAGTAAAACATCCACATGTATGCAGTATTAAGACATTCTGATACAAGACAATCCATGCTATTTCATGTAACTTTAAGTGTTAAATGCTCACCTCTTCAACCTCATATAGCTTTCACTGACAGCAGGCCTGCATTCTGCTCTCTGCACTACCACTCCCTCCAAGGTTATTTTATCTGAAAGAGAGTGCAGCTAATTAAAAACTTGATACAGACTTTTAGTCCATGTGCACCACTGCATTTACGGCATAATTTTAAGAGAGAAGGGATAGAAACAAATGCTGTAAATTAATAAGTGGAAACAGTTTAGAAACAAGAAAGAAAAAAATCCTTTGCTAGGTGCTGTATGAGAAACTACATCAGAGTAGAATCCAGCATAATGCCATTGTTTGCGGACATGAACCCCCCCCCAAAGAAAACAAACCAAACCAAACCAAAGTGACTTGTGGATACGGAGAGTATAATCCTGGCTTAAGTGTTAACAGAACTCCTTCCTGGTTTTCTAGGAACCCATTAGTTATTTGATACCTCAGCCCTTCGAGGCAGCGGCTTTCAGTGTAGCCAGCACGTACCGTTTTCTATTGCAAATGCATAAGAAGCTAATAATCTTGTGTGCTCCATAGACTATTTATGTGCACAAGACCGAAGGCCGCTCAACCACTCTTACTCAAAATTCCCCAAACTACAGACTAAAAACAAAAAGCTTCCAGTACCAAAAACCTCTGCCACTTCTAATTAGTAAATATTAGAGTTTATACATGCACATGTGTTTTGACCACACTTAATTCTTGTTAAATCACCACATTTCTTGTGCTTGTAGTTCTGTAAAAACACTGTTTTTACATTGTTCACCAAGGCTCAGAATAGTTCTTCACTTACTGCTTTAGTCGGAAAAATGCACACATCTGTACTGTAAATAATCACGTTTGTTTTGCACCATCGCAATCAGAATTATCTTTTAAAACCCTTCCTATAGTTAATAAAGCTCTCAAGTGTCTATAACCCGATTAGGCCTGTCAGGTCACCACGTGCAGATCTTTAAACTATTCTCAGAATTACATCTAAATGTGCTGAAGTCCTATTACTGAGGTCTTATTCTTCAGACAAGCTGTCTGTTTACCAATAGTCAGGTACCACTATGGGCACATTTATAGTTTTTATTTTCAATTTTCTTTTTACATTTTTATTTCATTTTGACTTTTTGTTTTAAGTACAGTTTAGTTTCCTGAATGGATTTTCTTTTTTCACTTAACTTTTTGTTTGAAATCTCTTTGTTTTAGTTTAGTTTTTAGTAGTTTATTAGACAAGACTCACAAAATAATTTCAGTTAGTTTTAATTTTTTTTCCTCCAAAACTTTATTTATTTCAGTTAACTAAAACAATTTTTCTATATCTAGATTTAGTTTTTAACTTCACTTAACTGTAATAACAATTGTTTACATTAAAAAAACCAAAACCCTTTTGATTCTCAAGCTCATGAATTTGAATTATGCGTCTGCAGGAAATCTAGGTTGTAACTTATGAAGCAACTGGAAATTCCTTTTATCCCTACGCCACATGTCAGGTAAACACAGCCTGCCACAACTGAGTTGCAGTGATGATGGTTAAGAGGAGTTTTCTGCTACGTTGTAAGTTACTACGTAGATTTCTTCCAGAAGTCAAAATCATGCTTTACACTTAATAACTGTGTGTTAACTTCCGTTTTATTTTATTTGTAACATTTTGTTATATTTATTGCTTTAAGGTACTGTAGCTCTACACAGGTTTTTATCTTTTATGGTGATAAATTGATATGGCGATTTTCCAGTTTCATTGTACTACATAGTACTCTTGTACTATGTATGACTGTGCAATGGCAATAAAGATATCTTATAACACTGAGTTTAAGTGATGAATGAAATGTGCTATAAAAAACTGACACTTTTTTTTTTTTTTTTAATTTAACAAAGTTCTTAAAATTGGCTACATTTACAAGTAGTTTTGAAGGATGAATGATTATGCAGACACACACACACACACACACATCAAATAACTGCCAAAAATACAACTGGACAGACATTACAATCGTCACTACACACAGCGCCATTCTCCTTAGCATGTAAATGGCTTTTTACTGTGATACCAAAAACTTCACTTGACGAGAAAAATAAACCCTCGCGTCTGATTCCTAAATCACTTCACTGACTTCATGAGCTGCTTTGTGCAACTTTGTCACTTGCTAGGTAAACGGAGGACTCACCTGGGCCTGTCCCTGCCCCCGAACCTGAGCTGCTGCCATCAGATCTCTCTTCTGACTGGCCTACAGGAAGGGAGGGAGGGATGGTGAACATGAAAAATACGAGGGATGGAAGGGATCCAACAGTAAGAACCACACCCAGGGTTTAGTCGCACACCAAAAATGTTTTTTAATTACACAACGCTTCTCATCACGATCTCTGGCAAATACAAATGCGTGCGCGTGAGCAAAGCAAGCATGGCCGCACAACAAGGGAGGACGGATGCCCTGTCCCACCACTGATACACATGCATAGCAGGGCTGCACAAATGCATCTCATTTGAAACTAAATATAAGAAAATATTACCAAACTGCTTTTCTAATTTAAACTATACACTTTTTTCCAATTAGACACAGTCACTTCTCATCTTTTCTGTTGCTCTACTAAAATGTTTAGATTTTACTACCTCATGACTTCCTCTCACTGCTTTTGCAGCTGTCTTCTTGATCACGTCTAAGTTCTTCAAACTTAATGCCTCGCTCAATGAACCATTTAAATTGTGCAGCCCTAAAATGCACACACATATAATATGCTGTCCCAAAGTAACCACTGCAGCTCAAGATCACCGGCATCCATAGCAAAATAATTAATTATGCAAAAATTGAAAACCTAATTATACTGAAAGAACAAAAGAGACTGATGAAATTCAAACTGAGCCAAACAATCCCATGCACAAAATCAACTCCAAATTCAGCAATGATTTGTGTTGATAAGCGTCCCTGCTATGTTAAATGATTCCCAAATTGGCTGTGCTGATTGGCAGTGAACTGAAAATGTCAACCCCCAACAAATGACAGACGATCAAACGCTGAAACTGACACATGTAGAGACAAACACAAATTAAACTGGATAAAGACAAAAGACTCTTCTGTTTTCCACTGAGTGTCCACTAATCCACGATGTAGAGTACACTTCTTGTGAGTACCCACTGTTAGGACTGTGGACAATGTGACACTCTAGGAAAAGTCTACAAAAAGTTCAGATCACACAAAGACAAAAAAGGGCAAGCAACAGGAAAACTGCATGAAGACAGCAAACTGTACAACGAGTAGCAAAATGGACGTCTCCATCTCCCAATCACAACTTACCTGTGATTCTAATGAGGTATTAGTTAACACAGAAAACTGATATTGCAATTAGGTCAAGCTCATCTTGCAGCAAAGAGGTTGAAAGCAGAGAAAAAGCAGTGGTAGATGAAAACAGAAAGTCACCTGATGAAGTCTCTGTGAAGACTGCCAATGTCTGACCTCCCACTGACTGCATGGTGAACGGGTGTTCGCGTGGTGCAGACACTGTCTTATCCTCTATACCGTCAATCACAGTCAGCTCTTCATTCAAAGTGAAAGACACCTGTAAATAGTCAATCACGTTATTTTTTTCTTTTTAGCAGCAGGACAGATTTACACACTTGGGATCTAGTTGCCATTTATAAGGTAGTAAACAGGGCTCACAGAAGTGATGCCACTGAGTACAAGAAATGCAGTTTCCAGGTACATGAATTTGCATTAGTGACATTGTTTCAAAGAAGCTTGTCCAAACCTATCCCCTCCAGTATCCCTAGCTTAATAAAAGGTTCAGGCAGCACTGCCAGCAACACTGCCTTTCAGGCTGATGATATCAGAGCCAGTCAAGCTGTTGTCCAGAGGTGCATCAGAACGCCAAAACTTAGTGCATGACACCAGTTCAACAGTGGGCAAACAAGAGGAATATGGCAAGTAGAGCTGGGCGATATAAGATTTTATCATATCACGATATGTTTTTTTTTTT